GAGCCTGGAGCCTGCTTCGGATTCTGTGTCTCCCTCTCTCTCTGCCCCTCCCCTGCTCACGCTCTGTCTCTGTCTCAAAAATAAATAAAACATTAAAAAAAAAATTAAAAAACAAAAAAAAACCACTATCTAAATAAGCTTCTCTCTCTTCCCCACACGCTCCCCAAACTGCACTGGAATAAAGGCAGTAGGAAAGAGCTCCAGGGAAGCCACTTCAGCATTCATGTGCTGAAAACCTCAACGTCTCACAATTCCAACCGAGAAAGGCTTTCTTGGAGCCCTCGCGCACCGCTGGTGGGAACACAGCCGGTGCAGCCGCTGCGAAACAGCATGGAGGTTCCTCAAAACATGAAACACACAATTACCGTAGAATTCCATTAAACATAGAATTCCACTTCTGGGTATTTGCCCAAAGGAAACGAAAACACTAATTTGAAAAACTATACAGCCATCCTTATGTTTACTGCAGCATTATTTACATTAGCCAAGATACGGGAGCAAAACGTCCAGTGACAGATGAGTGGATAAAGAGGAGGTGGTCACACACACACACACACACACACACACACACACACACACACACACTGGAATACTACTCAGCCATTAAAAAGGATGAGATCTTGGGGCACCTGGGTGTCTCACTCGGTTAAGCGTCCGACTCTTGGTTTCGTCTCAGGTCATGATTTCATGGTATTGTGAGTTCAAGCCCCGTGTCAGACTCTGCGCTGGCGGCACAGAGCCCGCTAGGGATTCTGTGTCTCCCTCTCTCTCTGCCCCTCCCCCACTCGTGCCGTCTCTGTCTCTCTCAAAATAAATAAATAAACTTAAAAAAAAGAAAAATAAAAAGATGAGATCTTGCCATTTGCAACAACATGGACGAACCTAGAGAATACAGTGCTGTGTGAAATAAGTCAGACAGAGAAAGACAAATACCGTATCATTTCGCTCACATGTGGAATCTAAAAAAACAAGATGAATAAACACAAAAACTAGGACCTAAATAAATTTTAAAAAAAGCAGATGGCGAGCACCAAGTAACACAGAAAACGGTTGATTCATTATGCTGTACACCTGAAACTAACACTGTATGTCGTACTTCAACTCAAAGAGAGAAAGAAAGGCTTTCTTCTAGTCTAACTTATAAATCCACAGTGCTCGGTTCCATGCTGGCAGGATGATGCAGCACAGCGGCCGAGAGTGGAAAAGCCTGAATTCTCACACCTGGACTCTGGGGGCTGCAGAGTTCTGGAGGACAGTCTGGTACCAATTTTAAGGGCCCCAGGTGACACAATAGGGCACTTACTTGCAATACATAGAAGGCAACACTTATAACCCATTTTATCTTGGCCAATTGGGCTGTCCGAGCTTTCACTGAAAGGAAAACAAGGATGAAATCATTATTATCAGTCCTGAAAAGTAAAGAAAATACTCAAAGTACACAGAAATGTCATTTTCATTTTATAAAATGTTTTCTAATTCAGTGTATTTAGAAATTATAAAGCAGATGGGTGCCTGGGTGGCTCAAGTCAGTTAGACATCCGATTCTGGACTTCGGCTCAGGTCGTGATCTGGTGGCTCATGAGTTCGAGCCCCAAGTCAGGCTCAGTGCTGACAGCTCAGAGCCTGGAGACTACTTCAGATCCTGGGTCTCCCTCTCTCTCTCTGCCCCTCCCCGACTTGTGTATGTGCGCACTCTCTCTCTCTCTCAAAAATAAACATTGAAAAAAAAAGAAAATATAAAACAGAATTTCTTAAAAGCCACACGTTATGCCAGTCATTGAAACAGAATCACACACAGGGGCGCCTGGGTGGCTCAGTCGGTTAAGCGGCCAACTTCGGCTCAGGTCATGATCTCACACGGTCAGTGAGTTCAAGCCCCGCATCGGGCTCTGTGCTGACAGCTCAGAGCCTGGAGCCTGTTTCAGATTCTGTGTCTCCCTCTCTCTGACCCTCCCCCCTTCATGCTCTGTCTCTCTCTGTCTCAAAAATAAATAAACGTTAAAAAAAAAAGTTAAAAAAAAATTAAAAAAAAAAGAAATAGAATCACACACAGATTATAAGATTTGAAGCTTTAATTGTGAAAATGCTTAAAACTATGCATCTACATCAGAGATTCCTTTCATAGTGCACTTATCACTCACCAGGAGGACTAGATTTGCTCCCCAGGCCTCCCTGTCTACACAGCACACTAACCCAGAAGTGGAAACCTGGCTAGTCCTGGGCCTGGGTGGGCCCTTCCATATGTCTTATGAGCCATGGAGACAGCTCTCTCACCCAGCACATGGGTGAAAAACGTCTTCATCACAGAAGACTGCTAGGGGTGGTGGCAAAAGTAGCAGTGAACAAGACCAAACCCCGACCCTGAAGTCTATACTGGGGTAAGGACACTGCTGGGCATTTTTGAGAGTATTCACAAAAGCCCTTGGGAATCCAGTATGACATTTTTTCAGGCTTGTCTCAAAATGTATTGAATTTGAAAATGTCTACCTACAGAAAACGAAGAAAAACTCAGAAGATGTTAGTTGTTTCTGTGTTTAGGAAGCAAAGGTTCACAGGCAAGTAAGGAGAAAGTAATAATGATCACTGGGTTTCTTCCAGACAACCTAAAAGTTCCTTTCAACATTTAGAACATCGAAGAATCAAAACATATATTCTACGAATCTTTATATAAAAACTTCTCTATTAATCAGCTCTCGTAAAGCTTTCCACACTACAACTGAAACCAGTACCGTGAGTTTTAAGCTTATCCGTCATCTTGTTGATCTTTCTCTCCAGCCTGGCATATCTGGCGAATTCGTCCATCATGTTGACGGTGGAGAGTTCTTGCTTCATACCCTGGATCTCCGCTCTCATCTGCGACTCCTGCTCGGCGTCCTTCTGCAGCACCCTGGACATCTGGCGGGGCGGACAGAGGGGATCAGCGCCTTTCCACGGGGGTACACCTTCTCCCCCACCTCCTCCCCCACTCCACTGAGGTCTCTTCCAGCGGGGCGGGCTGCCCCTTACCTACATAGCCAGCCTCGGCTGCCTGGTCCTCCTGCCCCCACAACCACCACAAAGACAAAAACTCCCTCTGATGTGGACCATTATTCACATTATACATTTCCTTTTGCAGATATGCTCATGGATCGCTCTGGTACAAATGGACGTATCTTTCACTCTAACCACAAAACTGTGATTACAAAATGAAAACCAATTCCAGTTGCCACTCGGGTGACAAGGAGCACACATCCTCTTAGGTAGGCAGAGGAAGGTGGGCGTAGGGGGCCAGTGAGGAGGGCGTGGCCCAGCAGGAGGAGGGCACTCCCACAGAGGGGCACCGTGGCAAGGGGGTCAGAACCAAGCACAGTGCTACAGGGGTCTCCAAGAAAGGGCGGCCTGGCATTAGAGTGAGCGCAGGCGTCACACAGGATACAGGCTGGGAGCACCCAGCCAAACACGGAGACAGAGCCCAAGAGGGGCTGGCCGGCATGGGGGATGGGGGGAGCAGACATTGCGGGGGGCAGGCACGGGGTGGGGGGAGCAGGCATGGGGGGCAGGCATGGGGGATGGGGGAGGAGCAGGCATGGGGGAGCAGGCACAGGGGTGAGGGGGAGCACAGGCACGGGGGAGGGTAGGGGGAGCAGGCCTGGGGGATGGGGGGGCAGGCACAGGGGCTGAGGGGGAGTAGGCATGGGGGAACAGGCATGGGGGTGTGGGGGAGCAGGCAGCAGTGAGGATGGGAGTTACAAAGCCTTAATCAAATACAGCAGACATAATGAAAATCATGGGAGCCAGTTTTCTCACGGTCAGAAAAGGGGATTAGAAATATGGATCTGGAAAAGGATACAATGAATCCTGCAGTGTTGAATTAGAATTGGAGGCATATGGGTGTGAACTTGCGATTTTCCGCAGATGGAGATATATAGATGTAAAGGTTTGTGAAGGGGCACGTCCGACAGCCAGGCCCCCATCGCTCACATGCACCGTCCCCAGATACCTGCGCACGCACGCACACAACTGCAGGGACACTCGCTCCCACCCCAGGACCAGGGAGCAGTGGCCACCAGGTGGCACTGGGCAGCGGCCAGGACAAGTACAGATCCCCTGACAGCAAGGGTGGAGTGAGACCCACCCACAGCGCAGGTCTGGGGCGGGGAAGGACTGAGAAACCCTGGAGCACCCACCCCAAGCGGAGAGTGAACACCCCTAACTCAAAGTCCACAGCGCCAGAAGACCTGCAATGAGAACACAGCATCCCTTCTGCGACATCAGACAAGGATGTTCCAAGAAGGCCATTGTGCGAACTCACTGCCCTTGCCCTATTCAGAAATGTCAGCCCTGCAAGTCCAGGAAAGACGGAAAATCCTTCCAGACTGAAGAGGCATGACAAGTATGTGCAACGCATGGTACTGACCAGGGTCCTTTTGCTGCAAAGGACCTCACTTGGGAGGAGTGAAAACAAGAACGAGAGATCAGGAAGGTCCCTGATGGTTGTGTTGTGGACAAGCCACCTGTTTATACACTGGTGCATCCAGGAATGCAGGGGCGCAGGTTGACAGCTTAATTTCAAATGTTTCAGGAAACAATATTGGTTCCTTGCACTGTATGCCTAACTTTCCTGCATGTTTGTTTCAAAATTTTTAAAAGTTTGATTAAAAAAAAAGATGAGGGGCACCTGGGTGGCTCAGTCGGCTGAGCCTCCAACTTCGGCTCAGGTCATGATCTCACAGCTTGTGAGCCCCGCGTCAGGCTCTGTGCTGACAGCTCGGGAGCCTGGATCCTGCTTTGGATTCTGTGTGCCTCTCTCGCTCTGCTCCTCCCCTGCTCGTGCTCACTCACTCGCTCTCTCTCTCTCAAGAATAAATAAAACATTAAAAAAATATATATTTTTTTTTCTTAAAGACTAAAGAGGAGCACCCGGATGGCTCAGTCTGTTAAGCATCCAACTCTTGATTTTGGCTCGGGTCACGATCTCATAGTTGGTAAGTTGGAGCCCCTCGTCAGGCTCTGCTCTGACAACGCAGAGCCTTGTTGGGATTCTCTCTCTCTCCTGGTCTCTGCCCCTCCCCTGCTGGCATTGTCTGTCTCAAAATAAATAAATAAGCTTTAAAAAAAAAAAGAAAGGGGGCGCCTGGGTGGCGCAGTCGGTTAAGCGTCCGACTTCAGCCAGGTCATGATCTCGCGGTCCGGGAGTTCGAGCCCCGCGTCGGGCTCTGGGCTGATGGCTCAGAGCCTGGAGCCTGTTTCCGATTCTGTGTCTCCCTCTCTCTCTGCCCCTCCCCCGTTCATGCTCTGTCTCTCTCTGTCCCAAAAATAAATAAACGTTGAAAAAAAAAAAAAAAAGAAAGAAGATAACGTATGACGTGTACTGGCACATAGCACGTGCACAATAAGTCGGTCCCTCCGGCTTAGGCTCCCCTCTGCAAAACAGGGCAACTCTTCAGAAAGAGACCGGGAAGCCATGTCCCCGTCATGGGTCTCCCCCCGCGCCCGTGCAAGTGCCAGGTCCTGGGACCGCCTCTGAGATGGCAACCTCCGGTGCCTGCGCAATGAAGTCCTTCTCGTGGGGACACGAGAGGTCTCTCAAGGGCACCTGAACAAAGCAGTGTGTTTGCTACCGCACATCTTCCTGCAGGCCTCATGCCAAGAGTAGCTCTGTCTTCACCCCCTCTGCCCTCGCCTGGCCCCTACCCAACCCCCTAACTAAAGGACAGATATACTCCAACCTGATCCACTCTGGAGACGAAAATAGGAACAGGACAAATTTTCTTAAGAAAGTCACAGAATCATCTTTAAGAGCAAAGAGTCTATGGATGTTTAAACTTAACACATCAAGAAATGGGCAAGAAGTAGATTTTTTGAGTGAAAGAGATCCTATCTTGATTGTGATGGTGGTTATCCTACTGAATAAGGGCACAAACTCATCAAATTGCCCACCTACCTAGAAAACATCAATTTCACTAAATGCAAAGTACACATCAATAAACCTCGCTTTTAAAACTAGATTTTCAAGGGGTGCCTGGGTGGCTCAGTTGGTTGGGCGTCCCACTTTGGCTCAGGTCATGATCTCGTAGTTTGTGGGTTCAAGCCCCGCATCGAGCTCTGTGCTGTCGGGTCAGAGCCCGGAGCCTGCTTCGGATTCTGTGTCTCCCTCTCTCTCTGCCCCTCCCCTGCTCACGCTGCCTCTTTCTGTCTCTCAAAAAATGAATAAACGTTAAAAAAAAATTTTTTTTAAACTAGATTTTCAAGAGAAGATACAGAAGCACAAACACATTACTTAGCAGTATACAGAACACACAAGAAAATTACAAACCGAGAAGGCCCAAGGTGTTTACTCAGCACTCGGTGAGCGAGGGTGGGAAAATGAGCTTGGGGAGAAGTGAAGAGTTTTGTGGTTAAATTAGACAACTGCAGTGCTTGCGGGGGGAAACGGATAAATGACATCTGCAAGTATACAGAACAATTCGAAAGTGTTTAAATTTGCAAATATGTACCCACATTAATCCAAGACCTCCCGATAAGTGACAACTAAAACATTCTAGAATTATGAATTGAATTGTAACACTTAATGAGATTTGAATGTAAAGGTTTTGAATATTAATGTTTAAAACAAAAATAAACCCCTGTCCTCCTTATGTACTCAAAAGCACCTTCCAGGACATTAAACCTCCCACTTGACAGAAACAGACAGGCTGTGTGGGGTACAGCTTTTCAAAGACCTGGAGATGGGTCTACAAAGAATTCTCAAGCAGAAAATGAGTTATTAAGATGACAGGCAGTAGGAGAATCTTGGGAGAAGGCGAGGATAGAACCGATCCTTCTCGTCACCCTGGTGCCCCAGACGCTGGCCGCCAGCCTGCATGAGCTCAGTGTCCTACCAGACTCACCCTCAGGTCCTATCCAAGTACCACACTCCCTTCCCAACAGACAAAATGCTAGGGCTTGAACTTGGGGTCACACCGGGTTAGACTGAAACCCGACTCTACCACTCAATGGCTGGCACCTACCTCCCTGGACCAGACCCATCTGAAAATTAATCAATGCATAATGCCATTTAAGTCCCAAAGGCTCATCCCTCCTGGAACACAGGAGGCACAGGGGGAATGACATGCTGGGGTTGCCCGCTCAGATGTGTCCCTAATACAGGCGACACACTCCTCATCCTGAGAAGGGACCAAGGCCCCTTCTGCGGACCCAAAACAGCCCAACGTGCCACGCCCGGCGGGTCAGCGCTGTCCAGTCGGGAGCCCTCCCCACAGCACAGGTCCCCCGCACGTGGACGACCCCATTCACAAGGCCGCACCTGCGCACCCAACCCCCAGCGCCCCCACAACTAATACTTGGGGGTCATCCTCATGCCTGGTCTACAACAGGAACTCACTAGGTGACCATGCTCCTTGGAAAGGGAGAGGAGGGTCCCAGGAAGGCACCTACAGTGGCAGGTCCTGCAGTGTCTGCCCCTCGTCTCAGTGGCCTGGGCGCCTATAGGGAAACGGAGGCGGCCACTTTTTAAAGCAGAAAATGAAGGCAATTCCAAAATCAAGTATAAAAATGGCAGTCAGCCCCACAAACCAAGTCCCAGGGGGACAGCCTGCGCTGTGCCCGCGTCTAGGGACAGCAAAGCGAGGACCCGTGAAGCAGGGGCTGCTCACGCCAGCGCTGAGCCCACCCTCGGCCGCGTCAATCCTGGGGCGTCTGCGCAGTGCGCCTCCCTACACCCCGCCCTCTGACGCGTCAGTCCTGGGGCGCCTGCGCACTGCACCTCCCTACACCCCGCCCCTCACCGTCGTTCCCGGGGCGCTTGCGCAGTGCACGCAGCTCGCTGGGACGTTCACTCGGCCCAATGCCCTCGTCAGGCTTGAGGCGCCTGCGCAGCGCGCCTCCCTACACCCGCGCAGAGTGGGCGCTCGAGGGGGCATCTTTGTCCACCTCTTCCTCTGCCTTTGGCTGAACAAAGTCCTGGATCGCCTACTATAGGAACTAGGCTCTGTCATCCATACGTCCTGTGACCAGCTTGAAGACGAGAAAGAACTCTGAGGAAATGCCAGCCAAGTCAACACCAGGGACTGGGTATCCTCATCCAGGCCCCTCCTCCGCCCCAGTATTGAGCTGAGATCCCCTGCCAGGACCTGGCCAGGCCTTGCTAGGCAGGGGACTTGTGATACTTAAGAGATTATAGGGCCTCAACCAGCCTACCCGACTAATGGGACGGCGTGCCCCTCCTCTGCTTCTGGCTGGGTGGGAAATGCTTCCGAAACACTGTAGGGAAGGCTAGAATGGGAAGTACGAGGATATGGCCCATTCCCAATTAAGCTTTCGGATTCTCCTCGGGAGGGCCTGTAATTGGCAGCCTCTAAGTGTCCTGAAAGAACAGCATTTTACCCGACCCAGGACCAAAGCATGCCTTACAGCTTTACACTGACCCTCGCCACAAACCACCAGGCTGTACAATCTCTTCATTACTCTTCCCTGTTCTGAACACCAAAAATAAGGGCTGTACTCTGATGGGATAACTATACATCATCCTTTGAGCCTGGCTCACAACCCTGGCAAATAGCGCTACAACCAAGGGGAAACGGGTTTAAGAAAGCTAACTGGATTGAGGTCAGAGAGGCTGTACTTCCTGTGGGAAGCGGCACAGAATGTGAACACAAGTCCAAAGGCAAACCCAGGGCTCTTTCATCGAAACGATGAACATCCACGGGTGCAAGCCCCAGGCACAACTAGACTGCAGCGACAACCTTTAGTGAGTGCGCGCTAGCTGCAGAGCACGAGTTTGGTGGAAGCTTAGGTAAGGAGCCTGAGATGATGACAGATCTTCCTTATAGCTGCTGCCACACCCGAAACAAACACTCCTCTTTCCCCCTCTGCTATTGGGAAATTATGAACGATTCATAGAGGAGCACAAAACCAACACAGCCTCTTTGAGCAATTTAGGTTAGTTTCATACGGCCCCCACGAGAGATGAAATGGGATGGGGTACATAAGAATCCAGGTGATACTCCAAGAAAGATGGGCAAGCAACCCCCAGAATGGAAGAAAATATGTACAAATCATATACCTAATAAGTAGTTTAAGCCACAATATACAAACAGCTCCTCACTCAACAAAAAACCAAATGAACAAAAAAAAAAACCAAACAAAAAACCATTCACTCCCTGCTGTGGGCCTACAGAGGATGCCCTTCCCTTAGGGACAGCTGCATTAAAAAGGGGAACAGGGGCGCCTGGGTGGCTCAGTCAGTTAAGCGTCTGACTTGGGCTCAGGTCATGATCTCACAGCTTGTGAGTTTGAGCCCCATGTCGGGCTCTGTGCTGACAGCTCGGAGCCCGGAGCCTGCTTAGGATTCTGTGTCTCCCTCTCTCTCTGCCCCTCCCTGCCTCACGCTCTTTCTCAAAAATAAATACACATTAAAATACATACATATATATTTAAAGGGGACAAAGGACTTGAATCGACATTTCTCCAAAGAAGGTATACAGATGGCCAATAAGCATATAAAATGATGTTCAACATCACTAATCGTTAGGAAAATGCAAATCAAAACCACAGTCAGATGCCACCTCACATCCATTGAGGATGGCTATTATAAAAACAAAACAAAACAGAAAATAGCAAGTGTTGGAAATTGTGGAGAAATTAGAACCTTGTACATTGATGGTGACGATGCAAAATGGTGCAGCGGCTGTGGAAAACAGTTTGGCAGTTTCTCAGAAGATTGCAAATAGAATTACCACATGATCCAGAAATTCCACTTCTGGGTATTTACCCAAAAGTACTGAAAGCAGAGACTCTAACAGGTATTTGTACACCAATGTTCCAGCAGCATAATTCACAAGGGCCAAAAGGTGGAGACAACCCAAATGTCCATCAAAAGATGAATGGATAACCAAAATGTGGTCTATACATACAATGAAATATTATTCAGCCTTAAAAAGGAAAGAAGGTAATCCTAGCACATGCTGCAACAGAGAGAGCCTTAGAGACATTATGCTGAATGAAATAAGCCAGGCATAAAAGGGAAAATATTGCATGATTTCACCTACATGAGATAACCACAGTGGCCAAATTCATAGAGACAGAAAGTAGAACTGTGGTTGCCAGGGCCAAGGTGACAGAGGACAGGGACTTACTGTTGAATGGACAGAGTTTCAGTTTAGGAGGATGGGAAAATTCTAGATGGATAGTGGTGATGGTTGCACAACAATGTGGATTACTTCATGCCACCGAACTACACACCTAAAAATGATAAAATGGTAAATTTTATGTTATGTGTACTGTACCACAATTTTCTATTTAAAAGGAAAAAGGGGCACCTGGGTGGTTCAGTCGGTTGAGGTCCAACTTCGGCTGAGGTCGTGATCTCACAGTTCGTGAATTTGAGCCCCACATCGGGCTCTGTGCTGACAGCTAAGAGCCTGGAGCCTGCTTCAGATTCTGTCTCCGTGTCTGTCTCTCTCTCTCTGCCACTCACCTGCTCCCCAAGTGTCTCTCTCTCTCTCTCTCTAATATAAACATTAAAAAAAAAAAGAGAGAGATGGGCAGAGGCCAGCTCTTCAAGGGTCTTTTATGCAATGCTAAGTACTTGGGACATCATCTTAAAGACTAGGTAGCATCAGGATAGATTCTGAAGGGAGGTTGGGGGGTTAGAGAGAATTCTGTATGCCTTAGGACAATGCAGGTAGTAAAGTCCTGGCACAGAGTTTTACACAAAACAGGCACTCAGTGAATGCTGGTAGAATAAAGAAAGAAAGTAGAGGGGCGCCTGGGTGGCGCAGTCGGTTAAGCGTCCGACTTCAGCCAGGTCACGATCTTATGGTCCGTGAGTTCGAGCCCCGCGTCAGGCTCTGGGCTGATGGCTCGGAGCCTGGAGCCTGTTTCCGATTCTGTGTCTCCCTCTCTCTCTGCCCCTCCCCCGTTCATGCTCTGTCTCTGTCTGTCCCATAAATAAATAAAAACGAGCACAGAACTGCGTTTCCGGCAATAATGCTCCAATGCTTGCACCCAGTCTCTGAGCTCTGTCAGACAGTCCCTCACTCCCGCTGTGGACATAAAGAGGGCGCCCTTCCCCAGGAAACAGCTCCCTGTTTCCCACACACACCTGACATCAAATTTGCCACCAAACCTCTCTTCGGGCTCCAACAGGCAGAGGGACAAAACTAGGAGAATCACAAACCAAGATCAGTCTCCACCCCCGCAGTCCCGAACCGGATGACACAGTGCAACCCCTTGACCCTCTGTGTCAGACTCCTCTGCTAGTAAAAGGAGACGGGATGACATTCATATCTTACAGCAGCCGTGACGACTGGACCCGAGGTTATGCACTCATGCCTACGCAAAACGGCAGAGAGCTGCATTCCAGTGCCCTTTGCTCCCTTGAATACAGGAAGCATCACACAGTGCCGAGATTCTGTCTACACTGCCTCTCACCCCAAGAACAGGGGCTGCTGCACCCTGAGATCCTTCCATATGGGACCTGGCAGAGCTAGCGCTCTGGCACTACATGCACGAAAGGGCCAGGGCCTCCAGGCACTGGACCCCCAGCAGCGAGGCTGCTGGATGCCTCCAGGGACCGGGGGTTAACGGAACTAAGTGTGGCTGGCAGAGGGGCACTGAGAACTCCCAGTCTGAGGGCTGCTGCCACGTGAACACGTGGCCTGGTGTTACCAGGTCATTCTTTTTTTTCTCCCCGAGAATCCAGCTATCCGGATTTGGGAGTAAAGCCTTGCAACTTTTAGACGCTAACAACGGAAGGAAGGAAGAAAGGAGGAAGGGAGGGAGGGAGGGAGGGAGGGAGGAAGGAAGAAAAAAAGAAAAACCTTAAGGCGAACAGCCCAACCAAGACGCTTCTCCGGCCCTCACGCGGTTGGTCTGAGTCCCGTGTGTCTACACCGGGCTCGCCGGGGACGGCGGCGGAGACCCACCGGCCCCCTGGAAGGCCAGACAGTCACTTACGAAGGAGGAGAAGGACGGGAGGAGAATCCTGAGGACATTGCACCCAAACACGAAGCTGAGCACCAGCAGCCACGCCCAGCGGTCGACCTCCGCCGCGCTCATCCCGGAATCTCCTAGAGTGCCGGCTCGGCTAAGGTAACTCCATGGGGACCACGCCGGCGCCCACGCCCTCGCGGGCGCCTGCGCAATGAAACGCAGCGACCTCTGAGGCGCGCCGCCGCGCCTGCGCACTGCGCCGCACTTGGCGGGGAGGCGGAGTCATCTTTTCTTCTTGGTCCCGGCGAACGCTTTGCAGCATGCTTCTTGGCCTTTCGGGCTTCTGTAGTTTTCCTGCACCTACCGTGTCCTGGCTGCAGTTTTACCGGTTCTGGTGATTCGGCTGCTCCCGTCTCTAATTTTGTTGTCGCTGCGAACCATTTACGTAACGAGTACTTTCTTTAAATTGACACGCTTTTATTCCTAGATAAATTTATTTTAAAATAAGCCTTTCCGTAAATGGAAAACTATCGTAATTGTAGTAGAAAGTGACTAAAAAGAAAGGTTTCGTAGTTATATGTAAAATGCCTTGAGTTTACATTTCAAAACAAAACAATGAAATCTAAACAATTTACAAAGCTGCATACCTAAAAAATAAGTTTTAATCGGAAGGTACTGCTTACAGTCAGCCCGTAATAACATTAAGTTTAGGTGAAGATGAGGTTTTACTGCAAAATAATCCCAATTCACATTTACATATGATAGGTAAAGCAAAAGATGTTTGGCTCACCCCTCTGCCAAGGTTGGGTTTTGAGAATTAACCAATCAAATGAATCAAGGAGCTGTGGTTCTACTGGCCTTGCAAAATAAACAAACCTTTTAGAATCTCTAAAAGTACAGTTTTCTTCGAGCCCATGTTAGGACAGTTGTTTGGGAAACGTGCTCTTCACAGGGAAGAAACTGTTCGGAGAATAATCCGTTTTTACAAGGTTATACTTTTTTACATCTTGCACAAGCTCAAGAGGTTACAGATTAGCATATAAGAAGGAATCATGAGTTTCATCACGAAGGAATGCAGGGAGCAGGAGTCTTGATTGATATCTTAAGATGGTTTTCCTTCAGGCTACTCATCCCCAGATGTACAGTACATGGGTGGAGGGCGGTAAATCAGGCTTTTGGTTTGAACAAAGTTTATACACAGTCATGCTGACTGAGAAAGAAATCTAATAGCATCCCTTGTATATCAGACCTTTCGAGAGTTTTTCTCTCATTATTTCCCCCTTTTGATCAATAATCTTTCAACAGAAAGCATTGATCGTTATTTTCTCCCTTGATGCCAGGGTGATTGTTTATCTGCCCTGGGTCCATCATGTCCCTCAATGCTAGGCTCGATTTAAGTCACCTAGGAATCTATGTTGCAGGGGCCAACAGTATGTCCTTTAATAGGGAATATTACAATATATATACATAGATATATAGATATGTACACGTTTTTTTAGTAAGATCCAGTTGTAGTGCAAACATTGTATGTGTGCTGCTTTTGCACTTTTGTAACATTTATAGCATAAACACAGAAATAGCAATAAAAATCCAATTAATAACACTTGAAGCAGGGGTGTCTGGATGGCTCAGATGGTTAAGCCTCAGACTCTTGATTTCAGCTCAGGTCATGGTCTTGCAAGTTTTTGAGCTCAAGCCCCACGTCAGGCTCTGTGCTGGCAGCATGGAACCTGCTTGAGATTCTCTCTCTCCCTCTCTCTCTGCTCCTCCCCCACTTGTGCTCTCTCTCTCAAAATAAATAAACTTAAAAAAAAATTTTAATAATATTTGAAGCAACCAATGGGGACTAGGTACAGAATTAGAAAGAAAAGAATAAAAAAAAATCCATTACAGGTACTTTGTAATTCTGAATTAATTTGAGTATCTATTTCCTTTGTCTATACTTATTTGTGCTTTGTGATATGTTTCGGCTGATTGGTTTAAAATAGTAAGTAAATTGTCTGTTATTATATGGAACAATTTCTCTGGCCAGTTAGTTTCCATAGATAATTACATCTTGTGGTGATCGTAATGCTATCTTCCAAAACATTTCATCATCAATATCAATATTAGTTTAATTTTTGTTAGAAGCAGGCAATTCTATTTGAGATACAAGGTCAGTATTACCCTGTATAGCAGTAGAGTTGTGATGAAAAGTACTCTGGTTACAAAACAGATCAAGGAGTATTACAGAGGTGTTTTGTAAACCTTCCCAACAAAATCTTCCTTTTCCCAGATGCCATATGTTAATTTGTAGAGGCATAACCATTATAGGCCAAGTTGGAGTGAATTCAGGCCTCTGTTGTTGTTTAGGACCTAACCATATATTTTTCCTGAATGCACAGATGTCAGTAGATGCTGGAATCCAAAAAGAATCATTGCCTAAGTAGTCACATCTTCCTCCAATGGGAGGAACTCTGGTGGTATTTACAATAGTTTCTATCCCTATGATGGCATTGAAATTAGTTTAGTTGGCCATAAGTTTGGGTACCAATGCAATAATTGAACACTTATATAAATTACTGGAGTCTTTAATGATTTTCCAAAGATTAGGAGAGCTGTGCATTTTGGGTTTCTTTCAACAGTATTTTAAAAATTTTTTTAACATTTATTTATTTTTGAGAGAGAGACAGACAGAGTGTGAGCCAGGGAGGGGCAGAGAGAGAGGGAAACACAGAATCCAAAGTAGGCTCTAGGCTCCAAGCTGTTAGCACAGAGCCCGTGGGGCTCGAACCCGCAAACCATAAGATCATGACCTGAGCCGAAGTTGGATGCTTAACCAACTGAGCCACACAGGCGCCCTGAGTGGGCTTCTGCAATTAATAAAGAAGGCCATTGGGGCGTCTGGGTAGCTCAGTTGGTTAAGTGTCTGACTTCAGCTCAGGTGATGACCTTGTGTTTATGGGTTCGAGTCCCGCATCCGGCTCTGTGCTGACGGCTCAGACTGGAGCCTGCTTCGGATTCTGTGTCTCCCTCTCTCTCTGCCCCTCCCCTGCTTGTGCATAAAACACTAAAAGGAAGGAAGGAAGGAAGGAAGGAAGGAAGGAAGGAAGGAAGGAAGGAAGGCAGGCAAGCCATTGACCCAGAGTTACCTCAGAGTCTTCTGGGTTATATGGCAAAGTTAGATTTAGGAGGTTACTGAACCCACCAAGTCACTCCCAAAGTAGCGTTTTTGATAGATGCCCATTGTTTTTTATTATTTTGTCTTAGGCCTCTCCATCCACAAAAACATGATTTCTTAGTACATTGGATATTTTGGCATGTTGGGCAAGCTGCAGCTAAGTTTTTCCCATTGTACTTGGGGATCTTTCTTAATAAGTTACCATCTAACTTTACAGAGAGTCAATGGTCAATCTGTCGAGTGTTGTATATAATGTAGGTTAAATCTGAGTTGGGTAGCACTTCTTGCAAAGCTTTTCCTAAAGAGGTACTTTATAAGCACCAGAAGCTAAAGCTAGAGTATGTACAAGAGGTCGTTAACATTTTATCTAAGTTCTCATCATAATAAAGTACGAGGGTAGTATTTGAAGTTATGTTAGTTAAATCAGTGGGTAACCATCATGTTTTATCAAGACATAATAAAGGGGGAGGTGAAAGCAAACGAATAGGTTTACTATCTTCTAATATCACAATTTATTTAAAAAAAAAAAAAAAGAGCTGGGGAACCTGGGTGGCTTAGTTGATTGTGTGTCCAACTCTTGATTTCAGCTCAGGTTATGATCCCAGAGTCGTGAGATTGAACCTCATGTCAGACTCTGTGCTGAGCATGGAGCCTGCTTGGGATTCTCTCTCTCTCTCTCTCTCTCTCTCTCTCTC